CGCCTGCTTCAAGCCGTAGATGGACTTGTTGAGCTTGCACACCCTGCCCGTACCATCCTCATACCCAGGCGGCTGCGTCATGTACACATCCTCCTCTAAAATCCCATTCAGGAATGCCGTTGAAATATCCATCTGAATGATGAATTTCCCACTAACAGCTGCATCTGCCAACAAGACACAGAGGGTAGGGGGTTTGGCAGTGGGAGCAAAGATCTCGTTGAAGTCCTGCTTCTCCTTCTGCATAAACCCCTTCGCCACCAGCCTACTCTTGTAGATGGTGACCTGCCCCTTGTCATCGGTCTTGATCCTCAGCACCCACTTGCATTGTATCGCTTTCTTCCCATCAGGCAGCACCACCAGATCCCATGTCCTATTCTCCAGCAGACTCTGGTACTCAGCATCCCTAGAAGCCAGCCACTTGTCCCTATCTGGTCCAGCTAATGCCTCCTCCATGCTAGCTGGTTCCTCTGGTGCAGGGGCAAGAAAACAGTACGCAGGCTCATCCTCCTCATCCGGGTCATAGCCATGAGGTAGAATCAGCAATGCCTCTTCGGTCCCTAGCTGCTGCTCTGCTGCATCAGTTCCTGCAGTCAGCTTCTTAGTAGCCATACGGGTACGTCCTGGCCTGGAGACGGGTGTCTCCCATCCCTTCATAACGACACCCTTCGGCTTCTTAGTTTTTCCCTGCTGCTTCTCTCCTCCCTCGGGTCCAGCAGCTCCACTAGTGCTGCCGCCAGTTTCCACACCATTTTCTCCACCAGCAGATGCCTCCTGTATCTTCTCTCCATCACCATTTCCAGCAGCTGCCTCCTCTCCCTCCTCCCACACACTAGGAGTCAGGTCCAGCTGCATGGTGATCTGCTCCATCTGCTGGGACACCCTTGCCTCTGGCTGTTTCTCCCAGCTCCCATACATCATGCCCTCAATGAATTTCACATCCCTGCTGTCAAACAACACACCCTTGGATGGTTCCCACAGCAGCCATCCCTTGCTCTCAGCAGCCAGCCCCAAATGCACACACCAGATTGCACTCGCCCCCAACTTACTGCGGTAGGTCTTGGGGACGTGGGCGACTGCCATGCAACCGAACACCCTCAGCATGTCCACCGGCGGCTTCCTCCCAAGCCACCTCTCCAACGGCACCCACGAGTCATCCCCAACCTTGGTGAGCACCCTGTTCCTAGCGACAGTGGCGTGCCGGACAGCATGAGGCCACATAGAATTGCTCAGCCCAGATTCTATGAGCAGCGCCCTAGCTGTCTCCAGAATGGTCCGGTTTGCCCGTTCTGCTACACCATTGGACTGTGGGGTATAAGCCGTGGTCAGCTCTCTCTGGATGCCCTGCTTCTTGAGCCAGGCCGTCATTTCAGCTCCAAGGAACTCACCACCCCGGTCTGTCCTAATCCGCTTCACTACACACTCCGCCTGCTTCTCCACGAATGGCAGCCAATCGTCCCGTATCGTGGAGGCGGCGTGGTCCTTCTGCTTCAGCGGATACGCCCACATCAGCCTGCTCCAGTCATCCACAATTGTAAGAAAATACCGCTCCCCCTTGTGCCCTTGCACCGACAGCGGCCCCACCAAGTCCATGTGGACCAGCTCCAAAGGCTTCTTGCTCCTGCCAGCCACACTATGGAAAGGGAAACGGGTGAACTTTGAAAGCAAACAGATTTCACAGTTGTCATCGGGTGGCTGTCCGTTCAGCTTCAGACCCTTAACGGCTCCATCCTTCTCCAGCTGCTTCAGCAAAGGCATTGCCACATGCCCTAAGCGCCGGTGTGCCGTTGCCCAATCTGTCTCCCCAGATCTGGCCGACACTTTCACACCAACCCCTCCAACGGCATTGCACTCCCCCTGGGATGCAGACCCCTCTCCAGCCTGCCCCCCACCATGCCACGCCAGGGCCGGCAGCTGCCACATAGATCTGTACACGTCCTTGCTCTCGTGCAGATCCCAAAGCACCCGATTGCCCAGCTTCCCCTTATAAGTGCGTGCCCCATCCGTGTTGGTGTTCACCCCAGCCTTGCCAAGCTTACGGAGGGAGATAAGGTTGGCCTTCAGGTCGGGGACGAAGAGAACGTCGTGCAGCACCACCGGCTTGCCATCCGCTCCCTTAAACGCAGCTCGTCCCGCACCAGCCACCTTCAACATGTGTCCAGAGGCGGAGCACACTTCATTGATCGGTGCAGCTCGTACTTCGTCCAGCAGGTCCTTGCGCGGCGTCATCGTCCAAGCAGCGCCTGTGTCCAACACCCAATAGTCTAGGGGGTGCAGCTCTGCTCCAACTTTGGCAGAGGCGTCTCCTTGCTCCCCCTTGTCTCCTACATGGAAGAATTGGCCCGCGGTGCGCTCCTTCTTCTTCTCCGCACCGCCGTTGCCCTTCGGGTTGTTGTCGGACGAATCAGCGACCATGTTGGCGCCGTTTTTCTGGTTCCTCCGCGCGCCGCCATCCTGGTGACGATTCTGGGGGGTCCATCCATCGGGTTTCTTATAGCACAAAAACCAGGGGTGCCCTTCCTTCTCACAATACCAGCAACTCCCTTTCATTTTGCCACCAGCACCCGACTTGCCCCCACGTCCAGATTTCGCACCGCGACCCCAACCGGTACCTCCTTGTTGGTCGTTGGAGTCGTCGTCTTTCTTTGCACCGCGTCCAGCACCACCGAAGCCACGTCCTCTGCCACGTCGGCTCCCTTGCATCCCGTAGCCGCTGCTGCCGTCGTCTCCACCCCTCAGTTGGCGGCGACGGAAGTCCTCCTCCAGAATCTTCGTCCGCACCCACTCGAGCGTCCACAAGCTCTGGTTCTGCGGCAGGCTCAATCCGCTCGTAAATTGAAGCCACGATTCTGGCAGCAGCGAGAGCATCTTCAAGCACTTGGTCTGCTCCGGGTAGGTGATTCCCGCGGTCGCCAACTTCGCGTAGAGGTCGCGCATCTTGTCCAGGACTGGTTGCACCGGCTCTCCCTCGCTCAGGCGCAACGCGGACAGCTCCCTCTCCAGCATCAACGTTGCGACAACGGAGGTCGGGGCGTGCAGCTCCTTCAACACGGTCCACGCCTTCGGACCGCATTCAACCTCCGGCAGCAGGTGCATGACGTGGTGACGCTGGTTCAGCTCCAAACTCTGCGACATCAAATAGTAGCCAGCCGAGGAGCGCTCGTCCCAATCTTCCTGCAGCGTGGGGTCACTCGGTCTAGGCTCCTCCCCAATCATTAGTTTCAGCAAACCGATCTGACGGAAATATAATTGCATTTTCCAGGCCCAATCATCATAGCCCTCACCATTGAACTTCTCGACGGTGAAATTCTTCAGCACCTCCTTGACAAGCGAGCCCTGGTTTGTTCGCGCTCCCCTTGGCGCTGAAAGACCAGAATCTTGGCTGCCGCTACGATCTTGGGCTGAAGATTCACCAGCTCCCGCCGAGGTGTTGCCCGCCATAGCTACCTATAACGAGGATCACTATAACGCGGCTCTGATACCAGCTTGTTGGTGTAAGGGCCTAATAAACTCAAGCTATTAGGACTTAATCAAACTTAAAACCTCTCCTCGGGGTCACCTCCAAGGGTCCCTGGGTGCCTAGTACAAGACCAGCCCCTATCCTCGGGTCCGAGTTTGTAGAGAGAGGGATCAAGAAGGACTTAGTCAAAACAGCAAGAGTACCTTGAACGTCGCGCAGCGTGCCGTGCAGACCGTCGGTCGGATTAAGCTGAGAATTCGCTATATCGAAGCTCGCTCCAAGAGCTTTAAAATGAGCCAAGTTGCCTCGCGAAAAGTTCTGCCATTACGAAGTTATGGCTCAGACGGTGTTTGCCTAGCATTAGAGTGCTAGCGTACTAGCGTTGACTCGGGTAGCATTCCGACAACGAACCGCGTAGAAACGAAATTCCAGCGAGGAAGGAATTCACATGAATCAATTTGACTATATTCAGGTACAAACAGAGAAGGATTAAATAGTTCTAGCTAGCAAGGACATTGGGAATCAACCTGGGAACAACCAGGGATGATCCCAAATAATTCCAAGCAACAGAACCAACCTGGCTGGACAAAATAGCAGGTGGTAGGTTGGTAAACAACCTCTGGTTCTGTTTTTCCAACCTGGGAAAACAACAACCAGGTTCAGGTTCTAAAAACAGAACCTGTTTTGTCTTTGCCCAACCAGCCAAATGCTGGTTCCGCTGGTTTCCCCTGGCCTTGTAGCATGCAGATACAGACAAACAACATCCAACCTTCACCTAAATTGTACCCCTATAGTGCCTTCCCTGCTACACTATAGTTAACCAAACAAAACAGTACAATTTCGAGTTGGATAGAACTGAATCTGCGCAATCAACTCAACCGAACTGCAAAGCTTCCATCTTGGGTTCCTTTGCGAGCTCGTCCTTTCTGCTTGCATTGTTCATAGCGCGTACAATGTCGTGCCGAAGCGCACATTGCGCGAGTACCTGCAAATGCATCAAGCGAAAATTGCGAAAGCAAACAAACACACGAACATTCCATTCACACCCAAATGCATTCGCACACGCATACTCGTACAAACAGACGGCAGGATGTCGTGCAATGTAAATTTGCACCCAACAAATCCCAATGGACAGTCATCTTCTTTCAACATTCCACTTCGAACATCTCAATTTTGCTCAAACTTGCAGCACCCCGTTGCAGCCTTTCTCTCTCATGGTACTATCCACCAAACCTCCTCAATACAGCCCCATAACAATAGGCTATCTCATTCTCATCCATTTGCTCAGTCACACTCCCAGCCGGTACCACTTTTGGCTTGCCAAAGCTCGGATAGGTCAGCCGGTTAGGAGGGCGCACATCCCTCCTAGGACGGTCAGCCGGACGTGCGGCACTTTGTGGAGCACCTTGCTGCTGCTGCGGCTGCTGCTGCTGCTGCTCCACCTCAGGTTCTCCCCCATCCTTAGTCACACCAAAGATCTCCTCCTCTGAAACAGTGACCTGCACTTGCCTCGAAGGCCGCTGCACCTCATCGGCCTCAATGATCAGCGGTGTAGTAGGAAGCTTCTGCTGCTGCTGCTTCCAATCCTTGCAGTACAAGGACTTGAGGAACTTCACATCCTTTGACACAGTCAGTTGCTGGCTGGTCAAGTCCCATAGCAACCAGCCCTTATGATCCTTAGCTAGGCCCAAGTCCACACCCAATCTCCCAGAAGCTTCCAGCTTTCCCCTCTTCTCCTTCGCATATGAAACACCACCATGCAGCCGTAGGCTCTCAGCATGTTGACTGCTGGTGCACTCCCATACCACTTGGTGTAGGGGACCCACTGCTTGTCCCCCACAGTCGCCAGCACCCGGTTTGTTCTTCAAAAGTGCGACCTGCCTCAGTGCAGTCACCCAAAACGGATCCGGCAGCCCTGCGCGCCCAAGGAGAGTGCGAGCACCTTCCTGCAGGGTCCGGTTGAACCGCTCAGCCACGCCGTTCTGCTGCGGGTTGTAGGGCACTGTGAGCTGATGCTGAATGCCCTTCTTCTTCAGCACCGCCTCAAAATCAGCGCCAATGAACTCTCCCCCGTTGTCGGTGCGGATCACCTTCACCTTGTGTCCGCTCTCCCTTTGAGCTCTCGGCATCCACTCCTTAAGAACAGCCGCTGCCACCTCCCCCTTAGTCTTCAGAGGGTACACCCACACCGCACGCGTGTGGTCGTCCACAATGGTCAAGAAGTAGCGGCTGCCCGAGAGAGAAAGGGCCCTAGTGGGGCCCACCACATCCATGTGCACAAGCGCAAGTGGTGCCTTGGCTAAAGGGGAACTTGGTGGTCCTTGGCTGGTCCCGTGCTGCTGCTGAAGGGGAACTTGGTGAATTTACTTCGTTTTGAGGCATGCAGGGCAGCTCCCAATCTCCTTTGCTGCCCCCTTCACCTCCAATCCCTTCAAGCTCCCATCCTTCACCAACTTCTGCAGCATAGGGATGTTGATGTGACACAACCTCTCGTGCCACGTCTCCCAATCGGCCTCACCACTCCCAGATGAAGCCTTTGCCCATGCAGCTGTTGCATCCACACCAGCAAGCACCTCACCATGTAGACGTTGTGGCTGCTGCACCTTCTTGACTGCATCCAGGGCCCCATCAGTTGGTGCAGTCTCCTCTCCTCCCGCAGTTGCTACTGCCGCTGCCGTTGCTGGAGGTTTCCCATTCCAAGGGATGATGGGCAGCTGCCACAGGTCCTTGATGTAGCTGCTCTTCTCCTCCAAATCCCACAGCAGCAACTTCCCAAGCTTTGCACGGCAGCTGGTTGGGCCGAACGTAACTTTGGCCTTGCTTTTCTGCAGCCGGCGCACAGAGAGGAGGTTAGCGGACAAACCTTCAACTAGCAGCACATTTCCCAGTCCCACAAGCTCCCCATTGGCTCCCATCACCTTGGCATTCCCAACACCCATCATAGGGAGTAAAGCACCTGAAGCGGCAGCCACAAATTTGATCTTCCCAGGGGGCTTTACCTCGTCAAGCAAATCTGCCCGTGGGGTCATGTGACTTGTGCAACCTGAATCTATCACCCAGTGAGTGAGGGGGTGCATCACAACCTTCCCAACCGAACCCACATCACCCTCACTCCCTTTCACATCTGCAACCATGAGGAACATCCTAGGAGAAGCTTTACCTTGTGCACCTTCACCTTGTGCACCTGAACCTTGTACAGCACCACCTCGTGCACGTTCACCACTCGGCGGCTTCATGCCTGGCGACGCCCATCCCTCAGGTCGGCTGAAACACTTGAACCATGGGTGTCCAGCCTTCTTGCAGTACCAACATGCACCCTCCATTCAAGTGCTCCCCCTGCCACCAGAGCTCCCATGCCCCGTATTGTAGTCACCTCGGCCTCTCCCTCTGCCAAAGCCTCTCCCACGGCCTCGGCCTCTCCCACGGCCTCGGCCTCTCCCACCCCCTCTTCCTCTGCTTCCTCCTGCAGCTCCATACCCCTCAGCAGTTTTGTTGGCAGCACCACCTCCTGTGTGGCGCCTGCGGAAGTCCTCCTGCAGGATCTGGCACGTATCCACTCAGGCGTCCACTTGTCCTGCTGAACATTGAGGGTGGGGATGAGGTTCTCCCACGAGTTGTCGAGCACCGAGATGATCTTGGTGCACTGCTGCATCTCCGACACCTTGCAGCCCGCCGCTGCCATCCTCGCATAGGTGTCCTTGATCTTGTCAAGGACCGGCTTCACATCATCTCCCGATCGCATGGAGATGGCCGCCAGCTCCTTCTCGAGCACGATCACCATGGGCAGCGTGTTGGGCTGAATCACGCCACGCAGTAGCTTCCATGCCTTTGGACCGGAGTCGTCCAACACAACCAAGTCCTTGATGTGCTGGAACATGTCGTTGTTGACCGATTGCAAGATGAGGTCGAACAACACCGCGCTCCGCTCAATCCACCGATCCCGAGCATCTCCTTCCTCGGGCATTTTCTCTTCTCCCATTCCAAGTTTCAGCAGCTTGTAGCGCTTGAAGACGCTCCTCATCCGCCCACTCCATTCCTCGTAGTTGGAGCCATCCAATGCCTCAATCTTGGATGGTGGCGGTTCACCCTTCTTGTCAGCCGCATCTCCGCTCCCTTGACTCATCTCCTCTGCTCCCAATCACAGGTTTCAGCTCCCCCCTTTACTGTCCACAACGAAGTCCAACACAATTTCCACAAGTGTCGGCGCCAACGAAATTTCGGCAGAGTTTCCCCTTAGCGGAAGTCACATCCAACCTCTAGAACTCCACTTAGGCACGCCCACAGGCCATGGTGGGTCTAAGAGGGTCTTCACACTTCAGTAGACTCTTCACAACGTCCTCAATCAGCTCTGATACCACTTGTTATAGACTAAGGACGGAGTCTATCAAGATTAAGGGCCGAAATATCTCAAAATCGTTGGACCTAATTTCTGGACAGAAATGTCGACTTCACAAGAAACGCCGTCGACGGAAAACGCACCGTTTAAACTCCACCAATTTCGGATATGTTGTAGCACTAGAAAGTGGCTACAACAGCCAATTTGAATCGTATCAAAATATGGAGTATAACTCGAGTTATTGATTTCGGTGCACTAGGGGGTAAGCTACCACAGAAAACTTAACTCAATAACAATTTGTTCTTACAAGTTACCACAAAGAGAAGTAGAGTAGCTACAAACCAGATAGGAGAGAAAGAGTAGGACAAAGGGAAGGTCCCCAAGGAGTCCCCAACCAAGGAAACCCCATACCATACAATTCCCTTTTCTATAGGCACCCCAACTTTGACATTTGTCACTTTCCCAACCCATGCCATCCACCTCACCCAACTTGGCCACACTTCCCAACCTGGTTTGGCTTCTCCCAACCATTTGGCATCAACTACAGTAGAGTGACGAATTTTCCCAACCCCCAAAAGTCTATACCCCATTTAGAGTCACTCCACAAATTCCCATAGTCGCCACAACCAAATATCAAAAGCATACGAACTTTGAGCGTTCGTAACTTTCTCGTTCGTGCTCCGATTGAAGCTTTTCTTGGCTCGACGGAAAGCTCTTGAGCACAGAAGTCACTTCAGATATCTGTTCAAGCCAAATAACATTCACACACACTCAGGCAAACCAAACCACACCAAACACAAATTCTTGCACACGCTCACACCACGCATGCAACGCACGAACATATGATGGGAGGCAGACAGACGTGAATGCGAATGATAGCATCACACAACATGTAGTACTTCCTATACCCGTCTATTCCTATTATCGCATATGCATGAAGTGCATATGCGGTGACAGCTATCGGAGAACCACACTCCTTCCAGCACCTGCTCTTCTTCTTGCTGCCTCCTTTTGGAGAACTCTGCTCCTTCCAACACCTGCCTTTCTCCTTGCCGCCCCTTTGCCTCTTTCCTTCTTTCTATTGCTCTGCCTCAGTCACTCCCTGCCCCCTCCTATGCCTGTGCTCGAGCAGCTTGAGCTCGTGTCACAGGACCGTGCTGCTGAGGCTTACTTCCTCTTACCACGGCCGTGTTGGTCTGGTGTTCCTTCAGTTCTGCTCCCTTCTCGTTCTCCAACACTAGTATCCCTGAGGGGCGGACTTCCTTCACCCTCCATCTTTCTGTCCCTACCCCGACATCCAAGGTATCTTGCTTTGCCCTTCTCATGTACACTTTCTATCCCTGTCTCACTCCCTTCTTCGCTCTTCCCCCTGTCCCTTGCTGCTGTCGCTGCTCATAGCGCCTGGCATCTCTTAGCTGTGCGGTGTGGAGGTTTTCCAGTGCTGCTGGCATCATCACCCACAGGTACCTTGCTCTGGCTTCCAACAGAACCACCCAATTGTCTATGGTGCCTGCCGTCACTGTATCCGTGAGGACCCGTGTTGCCCCCACCGGCAGCAGCGGCTCGCACCCATATAGGAGACTGTATGGGGAGTGATCCCTCAAGGCGGCCTGTTTCCCAAACCTGTATCCTGCCGCTATCCAATGTAGCTCCTCATCCCAGTCCCACTTCCTCTTCTCCCCATATGCCCACATCCCCGCTTCAAGGTTTGTACCAGGCGCTCTGTCAGCCCATCACTCTGTGGGTGGTAGCGGGAGGTGCACCTGTGAGTGATCCCCGCCTCCTCTAGCAGCTTGTTGAAGTCCCCTTGGAACTCAGTTCCCTGGTTTGTGAGCACTACTGCACATGCCCCAAATCTGCGTATCACTTGTTCCTTGAATGCTGCTGCCACATGCCTCGAGTTCTTGCTCGGGATTGCCCTGACCTCCAGCCACTTGCTCACGTGTTCTACCATGAGCACGATGTACTGCTTGCCTCCACGACTTAGCGCCAGTTCCCCTGCCAGATCCAAGGACCACATGAAGCCTAGGCCGCGGATAGGCAAGGACTGCAACTCAGCTTTGGCTTGGGTGAGGTTTGCCCTGCTCCTTTGGCATGCCTCACAGCCCTCCACCCACCTCTTCACTTGCCTACGCATCCTTTCCCACCACCACCCTGTCTTCAACAGCTGCACTGTCCTCTCATGCCCAAAGTGCCCCAACTTCATGTGCACCTCCTTAATCACCACCTCCCTCTCACTTGGCGCAGGCACCAGCTTCCATCCGTCCTTTGTCTGTATCTGTAGCTGCTGCTGGTACCATCTGTAATGGTGTCCCCTTGCCCTCACTCTCTCTGTCATCTCCTCATCCTCTCTTGTCTCTCCTTTCACTCACCGCAAGGCTTGCTCATATTCCCAAATATCTGCTGGCCCCTTACTTCCCCTGGCCCCACTCAGCTCCACCTCTCCCGTCAGTAGTGTCAAACTTACTGTAGGCTCTGTCAGTGGGGGGTTCCGAGAGAGACCGTCCACATGTTGCAAGGTCTTTCCTGGCCTGTGTTTGATCTTGAAGTCGTACTCCTGCAATTTCATCGCCCACTGTGCGTTCCTGCCAGTCAACCCCGGCGTTGTCATCAGCCATGTTAGCGGCTGGTGATCCGTCACCAAGGTGAACTCTCTTCCTTGTAGGTACACCCTGAAATGCCCTACAGCCCACACCGCTGCCAACCCCTCCCCTATGTATGAGCTGTACTGTGCCTCTGCCGAGTTGCAGCTCCTACTCGCGTATGCTACCACCTTCTCCTCTCCTTCCACCTCTTGGCAGAGTATCCCTCCCATCTCTTGGCTGCTCCAGTCGGTGTAGAGCGTGAATGGCTTATCAGCGACGGGCAGCTGCAGCACCGTTGCTGTCTTCACCGCTGTCATCAAATCCTGCAATGCCGCCTTTTGTGCTTCCCCACTCCCACTCCTTGTCCTCCCGCAGCAACCCATTCAGCACCGCTGCTCTCTTGCTGAAGTTGGGCACGAACCGTCGGTAATAGCTTAGGAAGCCCAGCACCGCTCTCACCCCTGACTTGTCTTTCGGCTCCCTCAGCCTATCCAGGACCTCCACCTTGGCCTTTGGATCCCAATCTGCCCCCCTTTCACCTCATAGCCCAGGTATTGCACAGTCTGCTCGCCCCATCTGCACTTCTTCAGGTGACATGTCAGTCCCGCCGCCCTCTATCGCCGTCAGGGTCCTCTCCACATCATGTAGGTGTTGCTGCTCCGTTGTGCTGAAGATCACCACATCATCAATGTAGCATGCCGCACACTCCACCCCCCACAACACGCTATCCATGACCCTCTGAAACACGGCTGACGCGTTCCTCAGCCCAAATGGCATGTACAACCACTCATACAGCCCGTCCAGCCCATGAAAGGTCGTCTTCTAGATGTCTTCTTCCCTGATCTTAATTTGGTTGAACCCTTGCCTCAGGTCCAGTGTCGTGAAGAACACTCTCTCTGCTAGCTTGTCAAAGATCTCTTCAGCCATCGGCATCTGGTGATTTTGTTAAGTGCCCTGTAGTCCCCGGACATCCTTTTGCTCAGCACCTCCCCCGTCAGGACCTTCCTGGCTGCCACCACCATCGGCATGGCGTACTTTGATTCTGACCTCCTGATCAGACCTGCTTCTCATAGCTCCTTGATATTCTCCTTGCAAATTTCCTCGTCCCCGTGTGGCATCTTCCTCCTGCGGTGGAACACGGGCTCCGTGCTGCTCAGTTTCAGCTCCATCTCCTTCACCTTGCATCTTCCCAATTCCTGCAAGGTGAAGGCAAAGCACTTCCTGTGCTTGGCCAACAGTTGTTGCATGGCCTCCTTCCCCTCCTCACTCATCGCTTCTCCCACCTTCCATTTCTCCCCTTCTTCCTCTCGGCAACTCCATGCTCCTTGGGGGACAGACTCCGCCCCTTCTTTCTCTCCTTCATGCCCCCAGCTCATGACCGTCTCCCGCCACATCCGCTGGATCAGCCACCTCAACATGTAACCATCCATTGCATTCCCTAAAGCCCTCCTCCTGGCTGCTTCACTCACCCCTGGTGCTGCAGTTGCATTCTCTCCATACCCCATGGCCAGCTCTCGTTCTAGTGCGGTTGGTTCCTCCCACCACTGTTTCCTGTGATCATATACCATTCCCGGCCCTGGTTGCCCCACTGCCAACTCATACACAGCCGCCCCTGCATATGCCACTAGTGTAAGTAGGGCTTGTCTGTCCTATCCCACCCGGTTGCACGGGTAATGCCGGCTGTAGCTTTTCCGACACATTGACGCTGGGGTCCGTCCTGGCTCTAGGATGTCTTGCACCTTCCTTCCCAGTGCTCGTTTCACTTCATCCACCTCCTCTTGCAGCTTCAGGGCCGGGACTACATTCTGCCTGTACATCCTGAGCCGATGCGCGTATGACCCTGCTCTGGCCGCGTCACAGCTCACCCCTCTCCCCAGTTGCCCCCTTATTCTTTCCCTTACTAATTGGATCGGCTCTCTGCTGTCCCCCTCCAGGTCTAGGTTCTCCAACAGGTACGCCAATCTGCCCTGTCTCTCTTGCAGCCACTCCATGATGCGGAACAGGTCCTCCATCAACTTTATTCTGGGAACTCCTCCCCCCTTCCCTTTGCCTGCCCAAGACACCCCTTGACATTCCCACCTTGCCACCAGCAGATCTACCTGCCCCCAGCTGGCCACCTCTGCCTCTGTTATCTCCTTCACGTCGTGAATGGTTCCGCTCATGGCCTCTCGAATCACCTTCTCGCTCAGCAGCTCCAGAAAC